CCAGAACCTTAGATATCTCCTCCTATCTCAGCTCTGACAATTTAGGGAGACTTAAGGCAAGGAAAGATTAATTTGCTAATATTCCTCTCATTTTCACAGAAATGAGAATGGAGTGTTGCAGATTTAGACAGATTTCTGCCGAACCCTTAAGTAAGGCTGAGGTTTGTTTAAAAATTGAGTTCTTTTTTTGTTAGGTTTTTTTTTTGTTTAAGCAAGAGCCCATTGTTTGATGTCCACCATGATTAAATGTTTACTATTTTTACTGGACCCTCTTGTCTCGTGTTAAGTGAGATATGAGATCAATAGTGGCTCTGCAATTATTTGTCCATTGATAAAGCCTTCATTTCTTAAATGAAGTACATTTATCTGTGTCCTGACAGTGATAAGGGAGTAGTACCAGTCAGCTGCTGCCTAGTCTAGCATTTAGCTCCACAGCTGGACAAGTGCCTGGACATGGGTCAAATGATGTCTAACTTTCTTCCTATTGGCATTTCACTTTACAAACTGCTCTGATGGGAGGTTTGAAAAATCATCCTTGCTGAGTTCAGATAATAAAAACTAGCAGGACAACTGGGAAGTTTTGATAAAGGGAAAACAAAGGCTGATTTCAGTGACCCGTCTGTACAGCTACTGGATGGTAAAATGAAGATGACAGAAAATATCCCATTTAAGGCACTCATTTGGTTCTTCAAGCATCATTTAGATTTAGTCATTTATCATGTTTAGGTACTGAAAATTTGATCTGAACTTTATTCTGTGTTAGGAAGCAAATTTTGGATCTGGTAAAAACTGTTGAAATTCTCTTAGCCTTTAGTTAGGTCAAAATTTCAGCTTAGTGGAGCACCAAATCTATTTCAGCCCCTGAATTAAGAGAATTCTACAGATCACGTGGGATGAGGTTTTTGTTTGTTTTTATTTATTTGTTTTACTTCTAATTCTGATTTGTGACAAATATAGAGGGGAGTTTCCAAACTACTGTCAAATGTGGTAATGAAAATTCAAAGAGGCTGATAAACTGACACATTTGCTTTTTCTATCTGTAATGTATTTTGATTCAAACCAGCAGTTATTAACAACTAAGAAATCACTTGTATTTAGTTTTTGAACTACTTTTTGATAACGTGTACTGTGGGCTATACTGGTTATATGCCTTAGAAAAATTAGGTGTATTACTGCCCTGGGATTAGGGTAAAGAAATCACATTATCCTCAATTTGGTCAACTTTCAGAAAGCTAGAGATGTTTATTGTCATTTGGTGGTAAATCTGATAAATAGTTACACAACTATGTGATCAGCATGTTTTTCAGAGGTTCCATGTGTAGGACGTGAGTTCATCGAGTAGTGTTAAAAGTAGATTTAACACTCAAGTCTGTCAAAGATTTCTTTAGTCTTTCCCAGTTTTGCAGTTTGCATCTGGCCGCTAACTTTCCATCCACTTTGTTATTACAGTTGCTGAGTTATCATGACTCCATCTTGGTTATCTGATGAGAACAGTAATCCAAGTGTGATGGACTTGCTCCTCTCCAGAGAGTGGCAGTGACTGAACTAAAAGATGGTATGAGGAACCACTTAGGGTAGACAGTCACTGAAGTGTGAAGATCTGTGCACATGAAAGACTGATACGTACAGAGAGGTAAGAACTGCCCAGCTGTAAAGACATTTGCTTTTCACAACTAAGAGAGGGAATTTAAAAGTTATATAGTTCTAGGTATATAAATACTCTATAACACTGAACCAACGAGATGTCACACTTAAGAGACTGGTTATCAAATTATTCTGGCTTGTTGAATAATTGCTGAGTCAATACCATCATGTACTTGGCAGTGTTGGTCAGATGGGCCCATACAGACTGGATGGCCCACTGGAGAAAGGAGCTGAGCTCACCAAAGTGGGTACATGCAGTTTGATTCAGGAAGAGTTGTGACTGCTATCTGCAAAGGCTACAATAAATATGCACCTGTCTGAGCTTCAGCAGCATCTTCTTTAATGCTGCCAAAAATCAAAAGGATTTTCCTGTATAAACCCTTTGTTACTTCTCACAAATAGATAATGAGCAATTATCTCTCTCATTTAAAATCTAGCAAGCAAAACTGATATGATTTAATTCTATTTCAAAAAGTTATTGTAAGTGCTTTGGGTTTTGAACATTATTTTGCTGTTAGTTTAATGAGATAATAACTTGTGACATGTTAAGAAAACAGGCAGAGATCAAGTTCTTTGCCCTAAAGGAGTCTGCTGTCTTGTGAAGAGACAGACAACATGGTACAGCCATGAATAACAACCACCTACACAAGGCAGCCTTATATCTATATGGTTATAAAAAAACAAACAGCTTCTTCTCAATAAATTAATTCTGTGGATTACTGAGTTCATATTGCCTTTGAGAGGCTTTATATTAGACACTGGTTTTTCAATAAAGCGCTGTACTAAAGAAAAAGAGTATAAGGTTTTATTGGCTTGGTTAACACTGGTGTGAACATCCTTAGAAATGTAAATAGGCTGGTATGTCTTGAAGCACTTTTTATTCCATTAAACATTACAGGGTCAGATTTTCAACAAGAAACAGCGGAGGTTTTTGAAATTTTTTTTTGATTAAGTGATATTTTTTGGCATTAAGACCAGTTTTCTGTTGAAATACTTAAGAGTTGTAGATATGTGTCAAATGCACATAGGATACTTTAGGTATGATAATTGCTCCCCGTTATTTATGTAGAATTTGATGCTTAGCTACTTTTGACAGCCCTGCTGAATGCCTACCAGCGTTGTTAGACACTTCAACGTCTTCTAAAATCTGACTCACTCTTAGGATGTGAGGCATCTTATTAACTCCAGCTAGATGATTCACTCATTCTTTTGGGCGCAAACTTAAGTACTTAGCTGGAAAGGGCATCTGTGGTTTTCATTTAATTTTTGTCATCATTCTCATCAAATATTTGCCCCTGTCCTATGGGTTAAGTGATACCATCTTTACATTTTACGCTTTTCAGAGTAACATGTAGCTCTGACTATTAGCAAACAGAATTCTGCAGTACGCTAAATAATGAGCTAATCCATTTCAAAGGTGTTGAACCTTTCTTAGCTACATCACTTTAATATGCAAGTGATGTGACTACAAGATTCCTATTAGCAGCAAAATTAGTTCTTTTTATAGCAGCATAGAGAAAAACTGGCTAACCTGGTTTGGTACAAGCTTGTAGGGTATTCCTGCCCAACTGCTTCAGAAGTTGAGCACAGTACCTGGCAGAATTAGAAGAGCTAAAGGTGTGAGAATGACTCCTAAATCAATGCAAAATACTAGAACAGCTGATGAAAATGATCAAACAAAAAGGCCACCTAAATGTGAGAATTTTCCAAATGCACTTCCCTTATGCAGCTAATTTAAAATATTGCTGAACTGAGATGAATCTTCTAAATATTTTATCAGAAGAAGGCTACAGGCTCTACAGATATTTCTGTGCCACTGTATAATGACTGAAAAATCTACTTATTAGGAATTAGGAAATATGAATTCTTGTTATATCACATTAATTCATAAAACATAATTTCTGCAACAGAGGGTTTGCTTTTGCTTCTCTGAATCTAAGATATGGAAAGCAATGAAGCCCTGAATACAGAATATTAACAGTTACCAGGGAAATCCATCATCTCTTCCTAGGATTCAAAATGGACATATTTCATAACAGTCAATTCTGTTAGCATCATTCTCATTTCATTCTAATTTGTAAAATACCTCTTTTTTATTTTCTACAGGTACTGTGTCCTGTACCTCTGAAGTATTAGTCTTTTTTGCTCCCTGCATTTAAAGAGAGCTTAATCTAAAATTTTCTCAAGCAGGTTCAAAGTCTGTAACATCACAGAGGAGCATATTTAAGACTGTAATTGATGTTCTACAGTGTGACCTAAACTGTTCCTTTTAGTCTACTTGCAATTGTATTAAAAAAACTTCTTTTTATAATTTTATTCCTTTACAGAAGTTTTTTTTCTAAACTGAAAATTAAAGAAAAGTATTACATAATGTCACCAGCTGCTGATATCTCTCATTGTTGTGTTTGGCTTACCTGTTCACTGTCTCTGTAGACAAAAACACCTTTTCAGTAAAACAGGAGTTTTTGCTACAGAAATATGGCTGGGTCTGACCTTATTTATGTTTTTAAGTCTCTCCTTTCAACTGTCTGCCAATAAACAAAAATTCACTTGGGCGAAGTTCATTTAGACCAGCTTTATTAAGTCAACAAAGTGCAAACCTGAGAGGACAGGCAGAAAAATCTCCTCCTGTGAAGTCAACAGGAATCCATCTCCTTAAACCCTTTTTTATTCCTGGCACCAGTGATTTTTCTTGACTGATTTATTGGAAGGCACTGGTTTAACTAATTTGTCTTGCATAGGTATCTTTCCCATTCTGTCCTCTCCACTAGTACAAAACAATCTTCACTTTAAAGGTTATTTCCTAGCCAGATCTGTCATTAATTTGCACTTTAGGAGTTCCTTTCACTTTTTAAAAAAACTATGAGATACATTCCTCATTTATGAGTTCCAATGTGACAGCCATCATATGCAAAGGAGATTGTACTTACCACAGATGCCTTTGAAAAAGAGGGACATTTCAGCCATATCCCCACTCCATTTGGTTTACATAACTGTATTCAATATCACAGAAGACCGTGGGAATCTGTACTTTTCACTGTTCTCTAGAATATCTAATAGAATTTTATCCTTGTTCTGGAAAATTCAGTAACCACATACAGAAATACAGAAAGTTTGTAATACTCCATTAAATTCCACAGTTTTAGGAGTAATTTCTGTAGAAACACACTTTTAGTCCTTATACATAATTTCCCTGCAACTGATAATTAAAAAATAATCCTCAGATTACTGTGAACCTCATTAAATATACTTCAAAATGTGTTTCACGAAAAACTTAAGAAAAGCAAAATATTTTCAGTGTTTTAAAAACCCCCAAACAATAACACCATTAAGTACGAAGAATAAAATGTACCTACCTAAACTAAACAGCACCAGGAATTTGAGACATACAAATTCTCGTAGATCAAACTGCAGGGAACGAAGCTTTGCTACGAGTTCTTGTGCATGGCTCATGAGATTGTTGAGGGTGGCTCCAGCTTGGGATGCTATTATGGAATAATCCACCTGTAAAAGAGAACAGTATTCCTGTCTGGTTGTCACGGCCACAGAACCACTTTCAAGCAAACCATTGTTTCAAGCAATCATATACAACTGGGATACTCCTGGATAAAGGAATCATTCTCAATTTAATTATATTATCAAGTCAAGATGACTTTATATATAAACCAATTTTAGCACTATTGAAAATAATATTAAACCATATATCTTAATGGTATGTCACATCGCTGTGAGTGCTGGTTTGTCTGTATTAGCTTTTTGCAGAAGCCTTATACATGAAAACTGCTTCTGACACTTGTAGCTGTCCCCATCTTGGTTTGTTTTATTCACTTGGTGTCTCTTGTTCTCATTGTAACTGTAAGATCTTGTGAAAAAAGACTGATGAAGTGAGCTTCGTGCCTACACTGGGTGTATTAGTCCACAGGGACACGATATTTGTGGGAATTGGTCCAGTGTCCATAACTTGGCCAGAAACATCTATTCAAGCTCAAAAATGTCGGTGTATTCCCACAGGAAACAGAGGTATTGTGTGGGTGGTTTCTGTTCTCCTTAGCTACACAAAATCCTGCTATTTGTTGGAACTGATTTGAACACACTTGTTCTGGCAAGTCCTGCCCTGCTAAGGGGGCAGGAGGAGCTGGCAGGTGTGTGACACGGGTCAGCTGCACTCACATTGTCCCAAGCAGCAACTGCAGTGCACGAAGCTGCTTTCCCTGGGGGAAGAGAAACAAGAGGGACTGCTCTGTGACCTGCTGCCCTTGTCACGCTGCCCATTTGTTCTCAGGGCAGGCTGACCTGTCTATGAGCTTTGTCATGGATAGGGACCAGCAGAGAAGGGTGCTGCAGCCTACAGGAATGCCATGATGTGAAGCTGAAGTGCAGGGGCTGGGGCTGAGCTGGCTCCCAGGCAAGGCTTGTGACTGTGAGGCTGGGCAGTGGTACGGGATGGAGCACGGGGGAACTGATGTGTCAGAACCAGGGGACCTGAGCAACTGCTTCAGCTGAAATGCTCAGCCCCTGTTCACCAGAGTGCCAGATACCCCCTACAAGTGCCACTGTCCCATGGAAATGACCTGGTGTGCTGCTTGCCCCCATGAGGAACCACTCCTGGCCAGCTGGCTGAGACATTAATGGGTCAGTGACATATTTTCAAAATGCCTTTTTCTTGCCTGGGTGCTCTAACATTATCAACACCTTTCTGTTTTAGGAGCCTCGAGAACAACAGGGAAATTGCTAACCATACTTCATGTGAGCACATGTAAGTGAAGGCTGTAAACGAAGACTAAGCACAATGGTAAGTGCACCCTTTGAGTTAGTGATTTGTTTAATGGTATCAATGCTCTTATCCTATCTTTAGGGTCTTCCATAATAAAGTAGTTAATAAGGAATGGACAGGTATCATCAAAGAAAACAGATGAATACTGCAAAATTTTGTTTTTCGAAGCTCTGATCCCTTAAAATATATTTAACACCCCCCCCCCAAAAAAAACCAACCCAAACTGTTAAGGAACATGTATTTTGAAATTATTTTTTTTAAAACTACTGATTTTGCTCAAGTATAAACGGCAATAAAACAATAAAAAAATCCTGAAATACTTTTAACCTGACAAAATTTCAGCTAAGAAAGACAGATGACTGAAACTAAAAATAACCTTTCCTAGTAATGACCTTAATATAATCAATAGATTACTGACTTTTAATAAGACATTTCTTTTATATGTACTCTTACTGCTCCCAAGAAACTGACTGAAGGCAACTGCACAAGAAAAATGAAGTTACACTTTTTGTATGGAGGTTAAGAATACCGATGCTTTCTTTGTAGAGTTGGAGCAGTTAAAGTTGTGCTTATGTTTCAATTAAGACAATTGATTATGCTTAAGTATCCTGTGAGGTAGGTTTTATTGCTCTCTTTTACACCAGGGGAAACTTGAAGTAGTGACATTAAATCGCTTACTCAGGGCAAAAGAAATCTGTGACAAAATTAGGACTTGATTTTTGGAAATCCCAGCCAAACTGTCATTCAAAATCTACTTTCTAGTTCACCTCTTATTCATCTCTTTCTGCACATACATTTATACATATTTCTTTATTCATATTTACTTACAGAAATAATAAGAAAAAATAAAGTAACCTACCTCAAATACTTTTTACTCAAAGAGTTTAATATAGTGACATGATTCAACTACTTCATTTTGAGAAACTGGTCACATATAAAGATGAAATTTCACAACTTAATTTCCCTTTTGTAACTGTTAAGACAGGGAAAAAAAGCTCAAAATCCCTCACTGAGGTTCCAGTTTATGGGGAAAATATGCTACTCACTTCATAATAAGAAGTTAAAATGTCTGAATGTCAAGAATATCAGTGGCCTTAGTGCAGCGATTATGCCATAATGGAAAAACCCAGTAGATGCCTGGATCTCCCACCATCCCTCTACTGGAGAGCTCTCAGGCAACCTGCTACTCTTTCAGGTGCATTTAATATTTGCAGCACCAGCAAATTTGTCTGGGAGGCAAGTCCTCATCTGCCACTCACCAGGAACAGGCTGTATTAAATTTTTATATTTATTGACATTTCATTACCATAATTGACTGCAGTTGGTTCTCTAGTAGAAGGCACAGGGTTGCCTCCTAAGCAGGAGAATTGGTCCCTTGAGTAGGATTTGCAATTAAAAACAACGCAGAATGGATTTTTTTTTTAATTGTGTAAATATGATGAGTTGAATTTTCAGCTTTAACTAGAGAATACTAGGTGTGCAGAAGGCTTTTTTCAAGAGTGAGCAAAATTATGAGTCAGTGGAAACACGACCCCCAAAGGTGTCAATCAGTTTATACAAAAGCAACTGTGCATGAAAAAGCCTCAGTTAATGTCTATTCTGAAAAAGTGGTCACAATTAAGTGCATGCTGTCCTGCTTGCTTGGGCTTGTATGCAGAAATTGATAATAAAAGGTATATTATACCTTCCAATTCATGATTAAAAGCACTTTCAAAAGACAAAAATTAAACCAGCTTTGATTTTGTGCAAAATGCTTAATTGCATATTGAAGTCTTAGCATTTACTTTATATTGTACCACTGATTACTTTTGGTAACATCAAATCCACAACTGAAATAAATTATTCTTGCTTTCCAATTAATACTATTTCATTTCACAGTTGATTTTGATGTTGAAGGTGGTACGTTGACTGGCGTTTTTGTAACCAGAAGCTTTGGCAAAACTTACACAGAACCTAACTTGGAAGGAAAATGACGGGTGTAAAGCAATGGCTGCACAGACAAACAGGAGTGTGAATTCTTCCTGTAGCCTGGGCTAAATAAATGCTGCAGCTGAAGGCCAAAAAGGCAGGGAGCACCTGTGCTTTTTTGTTTTGCAAATGATTTATCATGGTAATGAATGACTCCTGAAGACAAATCCCTGGTTTCGCTGGGCTCAGATGGTAACTTTTCTGGCAGAATCAGGTGGTGGGCTCTGGTATCAACTCCTCACAAACAGAGTTGTCGTGGAATTCCAGTTAATCGTGGAATTAAAATCCTAAAATTAAGCACTGTTTGATTTCTAGAATATGATCATGGGATCATGCGGAAATATTGTGTGGAACTGTACCATCCCTTTCAATGCTTCAGCAAGCTTGAAATAGTCTCAAGAATATAAGCTTAAGAGTGATTTTAGTTGTTGAAGGCTGTTACGAGGTGCTGATTATCCCTGAATGCCATTCCTTTCAGCCATACAGGAATTGTACACCTAAGAAACACAGCCCCTGCTGTGGCTCTATCCAGTACCTGTATAATGAATGAACGTTCTGGCAGACTAAGGCGGTTCAAGTTAATGAAAGATTGATTTCATATTTAATTTAGTAAATTAGATTACTGTGTGTTTGGGGCACGAAGGCAAAAGAGGTAGTGGGTGCCTGGGTGCAGCAATGGGATCATCCTGCTCCTCCCTGCTCTACTCAGCGCAACCCTGGCCAGCTCATCTGGCCACTGCTGCCTGGGGGGGCTGCTCCCCCACTGCTCCCTCCTCAGCTGCAAACTGCACTGAAAGCCTGTGGAGTTCCCCACAACGGCCTGCCCTGGGTTTTGAAGTCCTGACCCTGCTGAGAGCCTGTGAGCTGGCTTGCGTGTATGGTATGTGGGTGGATGAGTTACTCTCGGAAGGATGCATTCACCACAGTATATAGCAAACAAGTTAATTTACTATCACAACCGTAATTACCTTTCCACTGTTTCCTGAATTATATATTTCAGTGGCAACTGTGGTGGTTATTAAACTCATTTTGAGCTTTTCATAGGATTAATGCTTTCATTAAAAACAATATTTCTGTTACTTTTCTAAGCAAACTTGGAAAACACTTTGAAGAGGCACCTACATACAAAAACTGAGGAGGACTCAGCATGGACAAAACCAGCAGATATGTTTGTATCTGCGGGTTATCAGGTTTGGATATATTAATTAAAATTGTGTTGACTTATGCAGCATAAGATGCTTGTCATTTTAACATGATACACAATGATAGAAGATAATGAATTAAGTTGCCAGTGGACCTTTCCCCTAGGATGATGTTATTGTGCTTGATAATTAGCTATAATATGTGAATAGTAACACTTCAAAGTACTGCATTTACTTTTTCTAACTTAGTTTCAGAAAAACTCATATATCGAGACTGGAAAAATTCTATGCCCTGTACTTGATCATATATAGATTCATTTATAGTGGATGTTATAAAACACATAATAATGAAAGTATTGTTAAGTCTATTTAGATAGCTATTTTAATCAGTACCATTAAATTTTCCACTCTAGCAATGGTAACTATTGAGTTTTTCAAATGGTGAGTATGAAGATGCTGAAGTGATGAAGCTTAGAGTACAACAGAATCCATTTCTTTACCAAAGTGTTGTAATGCACTTTTGTGTTTTTTGTATAGAGATGATATGATATGAAATCACTGCTGAGTTTGAATATTCAATACACTTCATCTGAAGACAGAGCATCACTGGAAATTTTTTGTAACAAATCAAAGGCTATGCTAACTCAGAAAGGCTTTGACCAAACTCAGCAGAGGGAATATTTGGCAACAATGAGTAGAGTGTAGGTATGAACAAAAGCAGCAGCTTGTGTCTGCCCAGATGAGGCTACAATTCAGATGTTGTGTATTGACTGTTCCATGAAAATGCATGAACAGTGATATTCTGTGCAGAGCTTTAGTATCTACCCTGTGTGTGCTGGGCCTTGGAAGCTGACAGCGTGTTGCTGGTGTAGAAGTTAGAAAAGAAAAGTGCTCGAGTTGGAGGAATTAACGTTCTATAATTGGAAACGGTCTGTTAAAATTATGTGCCACACGGCAAACCTACAAAACTCAGCGTGTGGAGAGCATATTGGCAATGATTTACAGTTAACCACTACACTGCAAATCACTCCTTAGCTGTTGTCTATTATGAAATTTCGAGAGTTGTAAAATGCATTTGTGCTACTTTATTTCCTTTTGAAATGGTAATTGCTACTGCTGAGGGGCAGTACTTAGTGCAGAAAATGAAGTGTGCAGCATAGGGACGAACTTGTTTCTGAGGAACTGCTGAGGAATTGTAATGATCTGAAAAAAGTGCTTTCTTGAAAGACACACACAAAAGAGCTTCATTTATGAAACCCCAACCAAATAAATAACAAAATAAAATAAAATACAGTCTCTTTTTGTGCAAGGGCCAAAGCTTGCTACTTAGCTGCTGACTACACTTTTTGCCTATTGAAGTGGGAACAGCGGATTGACACTGGGTAAAACTCATAAGCCAGTGGCTTGAGGGAAATGCAGATATATGGAAATGTGATAGGAGTGCCCTAAGGTAATGGGTTTTGAGCCAACGTGTTTGAAAATTATCAAGTATGCTTCTGACTACTGGCCCATTTTAGATACCTAGTATAGAACTGATAGTGGTATGGCCCTGGGGAACTGGATGAAGTTTGACTTTTGTGTCTGAGGAACAGAGGCTGTGCAGTCTAAGTGGAGAGAGCAGGTATGTTCTAATTAAGTGGTGGTACGTTCCCCCCTTACAGCTTCTACCATGATTGTGATTGTAAAAAGGACTGTGTTTGTGAGTAGCTTTTATGGAGGGATATATTAGGGAAAGCAAGGAGTGAGGCTTCCTTCTGAGGTCTTAAATTTACCAACTTGTGACAATAATCTTGATCTCTCAGACAATAAACTTGGCAATCTAGCTCAGGTTTAAAGTTATTATCTTTGAAAGCCAGATGATTGACTGTAATTTTGCTCATAGTGCTTTGTTGGTAGCAGAAATAAAAACATCTAAAGCACTTTTCATCAGAAGTGTCAGAGTGCTTTCCACACCTTAATCAATTAATTTTTATGAAATAGTTGAATGGTTTTTCCCTGTCTCTACTGCAGGAACTGAAAAGATCAGGACAGCAACCAGAAAGTATGCAGCACTTGGTGCACTAGCAAAAACTCATAGGTCTAGAAGTGTGGCTTTCCAGGATTATTTTACAGTTGTTGCAAAGAACACAGTCATAACTGTCCTTTCATAAATACATTTGAACTGGTGTTGTGTCTTAGAATGCAACAATCTGAGCTGATACTGTGAAGACAGTCCAACTTGACATTTAAGAAAAGAAACAGTTGGATTGGATCAACTTGTCTAAAAAAGTAACTCACAACTTAGCCAGGATGTAAAAGGCAGTGTACAGCTGCTGAAGCCAGGAATGGCTCAGAATAAGTAATGTAGAAGCACTGTCCATGCCCAATGGCATGTAGAGATGATGTTACAAAAGCGTTCAGCTGTAGTTGAAACTTCCAAGGGATGTCAAATTGCTTGTTAGGGGATGAACAAGGAAAATGTGGGACGGCTGCTGGATTCAGATGATGACTTAGTGGCAGCAGGAACAGACCAGGCTGAGGTTCTCAGTGCTGCCTTTGCCTCAGTCTTTACTAAAAAGGTCTCCCAGGCTCTGTGTTTTGCATCAGAGCTTGAGGAGGAGGAGAGTGACCAGCACTGGGTGTAAACTGAAAAAAAAAAAGAGTTCAGACCAGAACTAAGGCAAAACTTCCTCCCCATGAAAATGTGCATGGAGGTTTTGCAGTTTCCATCCTTAGAGGTTTTCAAAGCCCAAATGAACAAAGCCCTGAGAAATCTGGTTTGAGCTGGGGGTTGGACTAGTGACTCCTTAAAATACCTCTCAGCCTGGATTATTCTGTGATTTTAAGATTTGTGGCTCTGGCAATTCTAGGTATTCTAAAACTTCTCCATAGCTCATCCAGCTTTGTCGACCTAAATGAAAGAGGTTCTTCAAAGAAATTATTTCTACCCATGAAAATCATTTTAACAGATGATGTTTTAAAGTAAATGCTTTGAAATGATCAATCGCACACAACTCAGGTACTGGCACAGCACTGGCACTTCTGCAATACCTCAATGACCAGTGGCCTTTCTGTGAGCACATGTGGCACACACAGTCCAGCGAGAGCTGTGCCTGCTCCTGGAAGTATTCTGGCTTTTCCACCAGGATGGCAGTGACCAGAGCTGAAGGAAACCAGGACAAGACAGTGGCATTACGTGTAGATTTCAGAATCCTTCAAGTTTCAAAATCAGCAGCCAGAGACTGCATATTTACTTCCTGTCTAGTATCTCCCTATTTCTCAAAGAAATCTCTGGCACATCCATGGGTGTGTGTTCTGCAGCTGTTAGCAAGAGTGAAATGGCAAGGAGTCCATCCATAAGGAAAAGGACTGACTGTAGTGCTCTTGTTGCTAGCCTAGTAATATAGTTCCTTGCCCTCCAAACAGCCTAAGTGCAAAGAGGAAAGTACAGATGATGAGAGACTCTGGGAGTCTTGCACCAACTTCAAAATTACAAACTTTGGCATGGAAACCTGAAACTGGATTTAAAGAAGAATGCAATAAACCTATTTTACAAACCTGGGAAAAAAATGGATGCAATCAATTCGATTTAGCCAGGTTTTAATTTAGTTAGACTGCTTCGAAATACACAGCTTCCAAATCCAGCTGCTGATTTGGAATAGTACATTTAATAAGCATCCTGCTACCTGTTGTCCAACAGTGAAGAAACGCTTTGCTTTGCCTGGAGATGATGTACAGCTGGTTTTTTTTTTCAAGAAAAGAGTGGCTTATAAGGTAAAAATTATTACTGTGGGAAAATGGGCACAATGGCTAGAATGTAAGGATATTCAGATGTCTCTAATGATTTCAGTGGGACTTAGACACTCAGTACCATTAAAAACTAGCTAATCACATAACAAATGAGACACCAATTTAGCAGTTCTCTCAGGAACAGAAAACTGTCAATATACTTACAGCTTTATAAACACAGGAATAAGCAAGCGCCGTGTGTGGTAAATGAACTAATTGCTGGTAAATTTGTCTTTTGCAGATGATGAAATAGAAAGGGGATCAGTCATTTTCTCAAGAGTATCAATATAAATCAAGAGCAATGCAACTAATTTTTGCTAATATAATTGGGGAATACACTACTATCTGAGACAGGCCAGTGACTTTCCGTGAAGGTGCAGGAGTCAGTTCCATAGCTAGAATTTGAATTTTCCCATTTCCTTACTTGGAAAAGTCAATCATTTCTCCTTTCTACTGTAGACCTTTTAATCATAAATTCAAGCATTTATGTCTCCTTTTGATTCTTATAAACACTTGTTCTCAGTGTTAAGAAATGGCTTCAGTTTTAAAATTATACGTGAAGCTGTAGGCAGATTCCACAACATGCAGACACAAATGGTGTGGCACAGAAAAAGGAGCTCTTTCCCAAGTGTGTATAAATTGAGATAGTTTGGTTTGCAGCTACTTAAATACCAATAAGCCATCGTTTGTTTTCACTTTAAGTCAGAAACATATTGTCCAGGTACAGTTTGCTTCTCTTTGATACTGTGATTTTTTTTTTTCTGTTAAAAGCAGAATAATAATCTTAGGAATAATATTCTTATTTTACTGGCAAGTTCTTTGTGCTTTGGAAAGTATGAGGAAGACAAAACTTTCTATTTCTTTTGGGTTTTCTCACTGTTTTCATAATATTTGTCAGACTACAGCTCTTGCATTTTGGGAGATCTATGTATTTGATACCCAAAGAAAATTAACCCTTGGAAAGCTGTGCAAAAACTGAGACAGCTCCTGAGACAATATCTGCATTTATAGCCTCCGGACTGAATAATTTCCCTGTGACTAGATGTCTCAGCAGCCCAGTTTTTCACACGTGTGTATGCCTCTAAAAGCAAGATATTTCTGAGGTAGTAAGCTGCAGGTTCTCTAGATTTCTGACTCAGTTAGTGATTCTTTTCAGTAAATCACAATTCTGAAGGCAAAATAAGCTATACTTGCTTAAACCTAAAGTATTAGGTTTAGCAGTGTTGTTGGTGCTGTCAGAAACCATTTTAGCCCCAAGGAAATACAACTTCTTGAGAAACATTTCTCATCTGGTATTTTTCAATCACTGAAGTATACAAGTACATTTGAAAAGCAAAGTGATTATGATTATATCTGCTTTTATAAGTTTAACTGTAATCAGCGGACTAAGAAGCAGAGTGCACAAGTCATTTTACCTACATTATTTGTGGAGAATCTCTGGGAACACAGGAGTGCTTCTGACCTAGTTAAACTCCTGCTATTTTGAAAATTATTATAAAAAAAGGACATCAGTATTTCTCTAAGACCACATACTCACTTGTTGCCCGGTAACCAGAAGGATGGAGCCTTCTTTTCCATGTACCACTTGCCGGTAAATGTGATCTAGAATTAAGAGTTCGCTCCAGCAGTTCTGAAGCAACTTCATTTGGTCATCAACCTGTAAAGCAAACATGAACGTTGGTGGCATCACTCTGGGAATAGGTCTACATCACAATATGGAGACAGTCCTCCTTCAAGCATGTGGCTAACATCATGAGAACAGAAATGCTACCTAGAATTACTGACCCACAAAATTGCTATTCTCAGCTGAATAAACAGGACACTGCTGAAACCTTTATCCATAAAATGTATAGAAATTTTACTCCTGATTAGTTTAATGGAAAGCAGAACTATGGCACTGTTATGCAAAGTAATAATAATTGTGTATTTATGAAATGCTAATGCCAATGGGATGTTATTTTCACCCAAAACAAGAGGAGCAGAAATAAGGCTGATGTGAACTTTCCCATACTCCCCATCTTTGTAACTCAGCTTCTGGAAATAGTAAAGAATCTGCAGATTCAAGAGCATTATTGCTGCAACAGGCCCAAGTCAGAGATACGTCCCTTGCAAAAGGAAAAAGTGAAGGGAGAGGTAAACACTCTCTAAAAATGGCTGTGAAGTTTTGAAAAGAGAAGAACACTTCTTCAGGAACAGAAGCCAAGCAGCTTCAAGGGTCGCTCGTAGGGCAAGAAAGGGTAGTTCACAAGTCAGTAGTGAGCAGTGAGACATATCACTGATTGTATTTTGGAACAGAAGGAACATGCTGGGCACTCAGCACAAGTAATCTACATTAAGATTTTGTGAAGTTATTTGGGATGTACATACCGGAGAACCATGAAATATGTCCCTAAAATGACTCCAATTGCAACTGGATTGCTTTCAGTTTTATTCATTTAGAGAATGAAAAATAATTAGGATTTCCATGGAAATGGGAGGGAAAAAATCACAAATTAGTGGAAGGCAGAAATTAAGTCATGGTAAGGATCAATATCCTCTGGACCTATTCTTACTGATCTTACTGACTTCTTTTCAAAATGAAACAAAGTCTTTGACTTCAGATGCATGCCCTGAAAGAGTCGAGAGATGCTTGCTACAATTTAGTGTGGTCATAGCATGCATATAGTTGAAAGGACTCTAAGAATCTTCATAGATAGTAATTGCTGAACAGATTAAAAATGCTATAAATCAGAAGAAGTAAAAAATAAATTAGCATATTTAAAGTGGAGAAATATCTAAAATTTCTGAGACATGGAACTATTAAAATTGCTTTTCAGGGGTTCTAGTTTCAATTCCTTTAGAAACAGATTTTGTAATACACAGGAAACCACATTACAAGGAGTAATCCTGCATGAGCTGAACTAGATAATGCAGTAGATGTTTTCAAGTTTTTTCAGTAAGACCTAATGAGTTTCTGAACTTTATTATTTCAAGCTTGTTTTCTGGTTGTGTGATAGAGAAGGAAGTGACATTTGTTACTTATAGATTTTTGTAGCATCATCTGTGAAAGTTACTTAGTATTGTCTCTCTCTTTCCAGTTGCTTGCCATATAGCTTGGACTTTAACATCCGAAATATTGAAATCTCTGTTTGCCTCCTTCATTTATCTTAACTTTCTCTTAACTTTTCAAAGGCAGAAGAGTCTGTGTGCCACAGATCCCATTCTCCCACAGAGATCATAGAGTAAGACTGATTTGCTATTAAAGATCTATTCCTCTTCAAAAACATGTATTTGACTACAAAACCATTTAAACCAAGTGATTTGTTAGCTCAAGAGAGGACAGTAAATTACCACATTGATGCACTTTGGCCAGGTTTCAATTAATTATTTGAAAAATAAGTTTGAAATTTACAGATTCTATTATTCTTGCTTTTTATGTGAAACTGTTCCGTGCTAATTTTCTCCTCTGACCAAAAATGTGTTGGAAAAATCACAAAAATCAAATAAATCATGCTAACACACCAGTCATCCAAAATTAACATTTTATACAAAGCTATCACAGCTTACATCTGAAGGAAACAAACTATGAGACAGTTTAAACATTCAGCATCTGTGTCATAACAACTTATACCTGAATAAGAGATCAAGCATTTGATTCTACTATAAATGACATATTTCCAGCTAACCCATCTGTCTCAGCCACAGGCTTTTGAAAACAAACTACACTTTACAGGTCTGGCTTTCTGAAGATCCCAACAGCAGCTAGTCTGCAATCAAAGCTTACTTCCCAAGCTTTACCATATCATTACCACGCCAGTGCTGTGAGAACAGTGTGAGATGGCAAAATCACAACAAAATTGTTTTGCACATAGTCTGTTCCTGCTGTTCTACAAGACTCATAAAACTAGCAACAGTGAACATCTGCTAGTGGTTCACAAAATCTGCTCCTCTGTATTCACTGCAGTTTAACCAGTGAACGCCCATACAAATGGATAGCTCAAAAAGCACAATACACATCCCAAACACAGTGTGGCCTGCAGAAGACTATCAGATCCAGCTGCTTCTGCCATTTTAAGAAAACTGATGGGGCAGAAGAATGCTTCCCAGTTTGTACTAGGAAGAAAGAGGCATGACTTTAAGGAGGATCACTGATTACTAAAATGTATGGCAAGTGACCAGTTCCAGCCTACTTCTGAAAGACGTGCAAATGCAGAAAACCACACACTTTATCTCGATAATGCATACAACATGAAAAACAGAAAACAACATAGATCATGTTGAACAAAAATGGTAACGCATCACTCTGCATGTTAGAATGAGGTGGTAAAGTTTATGATGTGTGTAACTTCAGCCAGTACACAAACACGTTTGTGTTTCCATGGCACATTGATAAATGAGTTGCAGAAAGTGCATTCTCTGGCAAAATGAAAAAGTCAGCCTTTCACCAGAACAACTGCACGCCTTTAACTGAATGTGCCCTGAACTGATCCTGAAGGCAAAGAGGTTTAAGTTCAGTTCTGAAGAGGAAGATCTTCTGCAGAAAAAGCCTCTTGTGGACTTCAGTCTCCTGACTCCACAGCTGGAGCATGCTGCTCTGCCATTACCAGGGGAAGGAGGAGTAAAGATAAGATTCTGTCACCAAGATAATTTTGCTCCAGCCTGGGACTATCCATAATCAACAAATTTTTCAATTGTGGTATATATTGAATTCAAACAAGCTCAAAACCTTGTGCTGACTAAATTTTGACGTTTTTCAGTTTGTAGAGATCTTTAAGAGTACTATCAGTGTTTTAACACCAACAAAAAAAATTGCTTGTTGTCCCAACTACTGAGAATGCTTATAAATTAAACATCATATAGCCAAGAACTGCCTGCTGCAAGAACAATCCCCAGATCTGCAGCTGCTCCCTGCCATAAGAGAACACCGACACAAGGATTAATGTAACCCATGTCTTATCTAAGCAAGTTGTCAAACAAGATGCCCATTTGACAGCTACCTACCCTCAAGCAAAAGCATGAGTGAATGCTGTGCCCACATGGTTAAGTTTAGGTCCTTTCTGGCCATTAGCATTCAAATGAAGACACACCAGTGAGGACAATGTAACTGGAAGTTGTTGCTGAAGAAATGCCTTTTAAAGAAAGATGTGGAAGAAAGTAAGGGAGGATGTGTGACTCAAAAGAAATAGGAGATCATTTCCAGCATGCAGGGTGGCATGAAAGAGTAATAATGCTATGAGTATGAAGTAAGAAAAACATCACACTGTTAACTGACAAGAGAAGCAAAGAGAGTGCTTAGGAGGAGGCCTTAAATGAGGGGAATGGGGAGGCAGTGTGGTGTGAGAAGACGTAAGGGGAGCTGGGTGTGGGTAAAACCTTGAGTGCGAGGATGATGACATGCAGACTTTAAGGGTTTGTGTGACCAGTAAGTGATGCTGCTGGGGCAGAGAAGGAGCAAGTACTTTGTTAGAGAAGCAGAGGATGGCAGTTGTTATCAGCACAGGTGTGGTATTGCTCATCTGCACAGTGAACTTGATTCTGTTAAATATCTAAATACACGTTTGAACACAGAATTCCATGGCAGCATGCCCGAGTTCCTTCACTGCCAGCTAGAACTATAAGGTAACTTTAAATCACTTTTTTTTGAGTTCTCCACTAACAAAGATGAAAAAACAGCATGCATGGGAATACATTTAGATGCACCTATTAGTTTGCATAGTTTATCTTGCCAGTGTAGTGCAGGCTACATAGAATATTTCCACGAGTGAAGGAACCAGACTCTCAGTTTGAGGTATAAAGGTCTAATCCTGAGTACTATGGTGGCGAACTATGTCTGGCCAGGACAAAAAGATGGTCTGGGATTGGGAACGGTGGTGTCACATTTGTCTGCTAAACCCTGGACTCCCACTCATCTGGGCCCTGAGCTTTTGATATGGGACTCCATGGAAGTTTGTCAGCCTTGCTGAGGCCTCTGTTGACACTGAAATACACAATCACACCTTATCAATTGTAGGAAGGACTTATCTCAGAAATGCTGGTTACTCATCTGAAAAACTATTTGTGCTGATGTTATAGATGAGGGAGGCTAGTGTGACACAAGAGTAGTATTGTTGTAGAATGTATGCTTCCCACAGCACAGAACGTTAATCATTATAAACTTTTGTTTTCTCTGAAGAACAACACTGAAATTGCCAAACAGCAAAATGAAGAAAAATGTGTATGCTTTGCTGAAATGCACCTTAATCTTATCAAAACCACATTGTGGCTTTCCTTTAGGAAAATGTTTCACAATATTTAGCATACTGTAACCAACAACTGCAAATTTATTATAATTTTTCTTCTGAAGGGGTATTTTCAGCCTGACACTTGATGAATTACCTGTTAAAAATTTCAGGGTCATGGGTTTTTTGTGTTGCTCTAAGTTAAATATTTTCCTTATAATTATTGCTGCAGATTCAGTTAAACACTGTGCTCACATTTTACCCAGTCTATACCTCCCTTTCTCAGAAGCTGGAGAATCCTTTTTCATCTCTGTTCATTTGCATCGACTTGCCACTATAGCTTTGGGCTTTTCTGCTACTAAAAATTTAAAAGGGTATCTAATGATTTTTAAAAAATATGGTAATTGAAATTTATGTGATAAAACTGTGCTGGATTCAGCTGAATTGTTTTTACTCATGC